ACTATAGATGATTGGCTAAAGAAGCTGTGGTACATATGTACAATGGAATATTACTCAGCCATAAGAAGAGATGAAATACTGCCATTTGTGACAACCTGAATGGACCTCAAGATGATCATGCTAAGCGAAATAAGCCAGACCGAAAAAGTTGAAAATCACACGATATCACTTATATGTGGGATATAAACCTAAAAGCAACAAATGAACAGGACAAACAGAGACTCAGGAATATGGACAATGGACTAGTGGTTACTAGAGGGTAGAGGGTGGAGGAGGAGGGAAGAGGTAGACAGGGTAAAGGTGGTCAATTATAGGGGGTTTAAGGGAGAGTGAAGTGGGTAAAGGGGATCAAATATATAGTAGCTGAAGGAAACTGGACTCTGGGTGGTAATCACACTATAGGATATATAGATGTCAAATTATAATGTACATCCTAAAATTATATAATCGTATTAACCAATGTTACCCCAATAAACTTAAAAAAATAAGAATGAAAAATAATAAAAAATAAAACTTCAAAATAAAATGTGTTGCTTTCTACAAATCATGGAGAAACTAAGATGGAAGGACCCATTTAAGGTTGTTTTTGAAAAACCAAACCAAAACAAAACAAAAACCAAATTCATAGATTCAGAGAACAAATTGGAAGTTGCCAGAGAAGAGGAGTTGTGGGGATGGGAGAAATGGGTGCAGTGGGTCAAAATATACAAACTTCTAGTTATAAAATAAGTCCTGGGGATATAATGTACAGCATGGTCTCTGTAGTTAATTTTACTGAATCACATATTTGAAAGTTGCTAAGAGAGTAGATCTAAAAATCCTCACCCCAAGAAAAAATTTCTTTGTAACTAATGTTAATTAGACTTACCGTGATGATTGTTTTGCAATATATACAAATACCAAATTAAAAAAGTTCCTTTTTTTAAATCTAAACACCTGTCATGTAATCTCTTCTGAAAAGTATGCCATCAAAGTAATTCTTAAAGAATTTACTGAAAAGAGATTTTGTGACTTCTAGGTAGCTTGTTTCTGTTATTAAGTGTGATGGAGAACTGGTCATTGTGCCCTGAAAAATAACCTCACATTTACTTCAAAATAGCAGCAAATCATGTATTTGCATTCTTTTTATCTATCTCTCCATCTCTATGTCTATATCTCTCTCTTCATCTGTCAATGTTAGATGCATAGAGAGATATATAGATCTCTTCATTCTCTCTCTCTGTATATGTGTTTATATAGATAAATATATAATATAGAAATATAGCATAATATATATATTTGCCTACATTGTACTGCTTCTTTAATGTTTAGAATTATATCTAGATTTCCATTCTCTTTTAGAAATAATTTTCATTGTTTTTCTTGTATTCTTTCCAATTTTTCATCTTCTACTCTAGTTTTAGAGCTGAAAATAAATAGATTATGCTGTGAGACTAATAATTATTATTGCTGAATAACTATAGTTAAACTTTTACATTTGTGTCACTTTATTATACGACTTTGAGGAAGTTACTTTTCTTCTCTGAGCCTCGTTTTCATGACTGTAATCTTAGGGTTAATCTAAGAATTAAATTAGAATATGTAATTCTCCTGGCCACCTGGTAGCCTCACCAGTGTCTCATTTCTTCCTGCTCTGGTAACTGCATCTGTTTGCACTTGTTCTTTTAGATCACCATTCTCTGAAGTTTTAACTACATCTACATGGAGTTTAGATTTTTTTGTTTTGCATTTGTAAAAAAAAAAAAAAAGTCAATGTATAAAAGAAAAAGAAAGTAAAAACATCAACCTAGAATGGCTGATATCTTGGCATGGAGGACTCAGTGCAGTCTGGATCAGGCAAAACAGAAGGAATCTCAGTACGCATTATAGAAAACATGTTTTTGGCACCCGGAATTTAAATCATTGTCTTGTTTTCTGGTCAGTTATTCCTCCTTACATAAACAATCTCAGACTATAGTGTTGATCTAGTGTTCAATCACATAATCTCTGATTCAGCATTACTTTTTGTAGACCCAGTAAAGGAGTTGAGAAAATGCTGAATTGCTAAGAAGAAGGAAAGATCCTTAACTTTCATTTGTTTCTTAATTGTGAGTTGCATTGAAGCTAGTCAGTTGAATGTTTTCCTTTTACACCTGATTTTTTTTTTTTTTAATTTTTTTTTACGCCTATAGCACCTGGTCTTCCTAGGTGGTCTCCCATCCAAGTACTAACCAGGCCCAACCCTGCTTAGCTTCCGAGATCAGACAGCAGGCTTGCTGAGGGTGGCATGGCCATGGACTACACTTGATTTTTGAAAGTCAAGATTTTTATTCCTTGAATTTTTTACAAATAGGAGAAACGTGATATTTTTGGAATTTACCTACCTGGCTTTTATTTTCCTGAAATTGAGTTGGAACATCAAGTTAAGCCATCCATCCACTTTTCTTCACTCAACATCCACTCTAATCCAGTTTCTGCTCCATGTAACCCAGGTCCAAGTTCACATTTAGGAAAGAGGAAGGTCAGTCAGAAGCAAGATTTGAAGTTCTGGAAGAACTTATTTTGTGGTATCTCTTTAAAGGAAGACATAAAAATAACAGGTGTTTACTGGGGAACAAACTCACTGCTATGGCTAATGACTGTCACCAGAGCCATGGTACATTTTTTCATCATGTTGGGTGAGAAACCTTACCTTCTTTTTACCTTAACTTTTCTCTCTGAGTCATCATAGAATGTGAGAACTTTTGCCCGAAAGATGATTCTAAATTCCCAACCAATTAATAAACGAGTTAAAGCATCCAGTTAATAAGTTTGCCTTAACCTCATCCAGCACTTGATCCATCACCTTCTCCACCTGAATAGGAGATCTTCAGTCTCCAAGTACTTCTTTCCTGCCTGGGAGGATGCAGAATAGGTATCAGCTAGAAAAAAATGTCATATATTGATAAAAAATATATATGTAATCACTTTCTTATGTTATATTTCTTAATAACTGTTAATTATAGAGATTAATTATAGAGAGTAGTTCAGCTTTTACTAAATGGTTGAGGAAGCACTCATAAATCTGTTGCCAAACAGTTTTATTATAACAATGTCACGATGTTAAAATTTTAATATATACTGTTGAAAATTGATGATACATCAAGTAAAAAGACAGTTAAAAAAATTTTCTGCTTAAAACAATTTTTATTTTTGTTGAAAAAATACAGGTACACTTTTGCTTTGAATTTAATTTTACATGGCAAATCAATTTTAGTTCCTCCTAGACAAGATTGATTCATTTTCGTTTCTAACATGCTTAATTTCAATTGTTTTTTCTGTTATATAACATTTACTACTATAGCATGGTTTCCTCAGCAGTTTGACATTGCAGCAAAATTCCTAATTCCTGATATGTTCAATTTATGGGGCAAAATAAAAATACTTTTAGGATCCCGAATATACTTTTGAACTTGGAATAAGATTATTATGACTATTAATTTAATTCTTATGTATAAACAGAGCACAGATCAACTGTGTGCACACTAGATCCCAGAGAAAGCTTCTGTTGAGAAGCAAGAGAAGAGGCCCCAGTGAAAAGCAGGGGGACTTCCTTAGAACCCGGCAGGCTGCTCCATAGGGTCAAGTTCCCTTCTCCTTAGACAACACTGCAGGCCTGGTTGCGGCAGCAGTCCTGTCTTGCAAGAACTGTCTGCCTATGCTTCTCGGGCTGTCCTAGCACATGCCTTCCTGGTAGTTATGGCATTTGAGAGAGGAGGGATGAATGCTAGACGTTTAGACATTTAGGGGGTCTCTTTCCTTCCAGGTATCCTCAGGACTGCGCCCTTCTGTGTTAAAACGCAAACACTTTGTTACTTTACATTCCATCTGGAAAAAACAAATACGTCTTGAATATAGAAAAAAAAAAAAGGAGAATTTATATACAGTTAGAGCTAATGACCATGGGAAGACTCAGCCAAGACAGTAATGTTAGTGAGGATGCAGGGTGCTCTCTATGGGTTTAAAGGCTGAAGATCTTGAATGACCAGAAATGAGCTGAGGAACTGCATCACTGTCATGGTAACAGGCATAAAATAATATATTCTAAACCTTCACTGACCTAACATTGTTACCCTCAAGAATTAAATTGCTGTAGCTGTTTAATTTAAAAAGAGCCAGGCTTAAAAAAGTAGAGGTTACTGATCATCTCTTTTCAGGTCCTATTTGACCCGAAATGCTGTTTATAATACATATTCACAAATTTCACCTGTTATTCTAATCAGAGGCCCTTTTGCTTGTGACAAAAGCCATGTTTTGTATTCCCACAAAGATGAACATCATTACATGCCATAGGTAAGTTATATCTACCCACTGACATGAAAAAAAAATAAGGAGCATTTTAAACTATTAACACAGGATTTGTTACTGAGAAGCTGTAGGAAAGAATTCAGTGTAAAATATTTTCTTTGGATAGATGATTTCAAGGTGATTAAAGAAACATGAAATGTTATTTACACCATACTAAACTTTCCTGAATGTTCTGTGATATTTCTATTTCAAAATTGTCTTGTGAGAATATGAGAAATATATATGTAGCAAGTTTAATGCATAAGCCAATAGCCCTTAGCTTGAGCAAAAGACACACTTAAGGTCTCCCAGCACCAAGAAGATGGAAAAAACTTAACTGTGACTAGTTCCTTTTTTCCAAGTAGCTCAAAACGCTTTAGCAAAGACCTCATGACTCTTACATCATTATTAATAATATATGAAAAGGTGACAGAGACAAGAACTGGAACTCTTGACTCCAGTGCTTAACCTACTATAAGTACATCGTGTTTTAAAGTGATAAACACCTTTCATTGGCACCGCAAAAATAGAAGTTTAAAATTTTTAAGAAATTTTCCTACTGAATACGGTAAGATAGTTTGAAAAACATAATTTACTACAACTTGAATAGTATTGGAGAATTAAGAGTGACAACATATTCACTTTGGGGGTATGAACTAGATAATTTTAACTGTAATTATGATCAGTTCATGAGAGTAGCAAAGTATGGGTCAAATTAGACCAATACTGTGAAATTTGATATGTTATACTGGATAATTTGGTCCAAATATCTGTATTCAGCCAGCATGTTATTTCAGTTCATTGTGGTCATATCAGACGGGAACAAGGATCTTCTGTACAGATCATTTTATGTGACCCTCGTAGCTCCGTTGGACCATGTAGGTTGCCAGAACCATTGGAAATGGGACAAAATGCTCTTTCTGTCACTATCACATTTTGTGTGAGAAGTGGATCAAAGGCTGCAGTGGAAGGTTGCACGAGGGAACCAGAAGCTGAGTAAGTCTCTGTTACCAAATAGCTACCCTGCTGCAAAGGGTCAGGGATGGGAATGGCTGGTTGGAGGACAGAACCGGAAGCAGACAAAGCAGTAGCTCCTTGACTACCTGGCAAAGTCTGGCACCTAGCAGATTCTGACTGCTGGATTTCTATTGAATGGCTACAGAATTCAGCACCAGAACCACCGTTTTTGGTGAGTGTCTGAGATTGTTTAGCTTTGTCATCACACTCGAGGCTTATCTCTGCAAGTTTTTTAAATTTGGGGCCGAGCGAGTCCAAGAAGCTCTCATCCAGCTCATCGGCAATAAAACTGCAACAACCCAGAGAACCCACAGGAGAACCAGGGGCGCCCAGTCCTTCGTTGTCATAGATCAACAAGCAGTCGTTTGCTTCCTGGCCATCGTCTTCCTCTGCACAGGCAAATGCTTTCTAAAGGTGGAAGAAAATAGAAAAAATGAATCTTAAAAGTGACTCAATTGAAGAAAATAATACCGTTCATAGAACTCAAGGTTTGATCATGAATTTGTAAATTAGGTAATCCATAGACATAAAGGCATATTCTTTGCATCAACAACCTTGTTACAGAAATTATTTGGAGAATAGTGTAATTGACATTCCATCAAAATTGAGTCTAGCCTAGGCTTATATTTTAACTCTTGATTTTGAGGGAGCTTACATGGATTTAGGTCTACAAAACAAATGTGTACGAAGCCTGGAGGTTACTCCTTGGGCCAAGTATGAGGGTCCCTGTGTGTGCTTGTGTTAATGCATGTCTTTCTTTGTGTTTGGGGCAGGGGACAGGCATCCCACTGTGCACTGTCTGAGACATCTGTCACCCACATTGGGGCCTTTGCCTAGAATCTGCAGCTCTTGTGGGAGCCTGGCTCATAACTAGAGCCTACATCATCTTGGAATATCCCAAGAATCCTCATCCCAAACAAGCCTTCCTGGCCAGTCTCTCCTCAAACACAGCGTCAGGCTTCATCTGCTCATGCATGGGCCAGATCCTGGCACTTACCAATTCTGATACCAAAACTATATGTGAGGTTTGTTCTAATGATGCACCAGCCAGGAGGGGAGAAACCTGCCCCACAAAGTCCTCTCTGTTCTTGCATCCTTGTCCCTCTTTGGTTCTACGCTTCCTGACACTTCATCTGATCTTTGATCACATCCCTTTCTCCCCTTTTTATTTTTGGGTCATTGATTCAATGGTTCTTTAACCTTTATGGACATGAAATGTGAAGAATACTATAACCCTTTCTCAGAAAAATATATGCACATGTGTTTCAACATCCTTCATGGTATAGGCAATACAAAATATACTGCTTTGTATTCCTAAAGTAGATGCTGCTGATCCTGAAATGCAAAAGTTTTTGCTGTCTGTTGTTATCCCACTTGGAGGCACGAGATGCCACTTGCTACATTCTCTCACTTTGTGTTTATTTACCCATTCTTCCTTTTTACCAGTAGCCCAATTTGGACAGGCATCATAGATGATCTGTATTATTTTGGCAGAGAACTCCTATTTTTTTCTTACGTTTTAAGCAAGCTGTAAAAAGTAAACTGCAAAACTGAAATATAGTCAAGTAAAAAGGTCTCTAGTGTAAATAAGATAACAAAGCCACAAAGTTTTCCACCAAACTACCTGAGAAAAGTAGGTGTCCAAGAAATTCATGTTTATTGCCCCTTCACTATAGTCCTTATGGGTTCCTCCGGTGGAATGCCTTGTTCTCATTGTTCCAGACTGTACTGTAGAACAGAAGCCAAGTCCAGTGGTTGCTCCAAATCCTGCAGCTGCTCCAGATGCTGCAGCTCCTCCAGATGCTGCAGCTGCTCCAAGCTTGGTGGTCAGTTCAATTCCCGAAGCTCCTTCCACTGCCATTCCTCTGGCACATGTGTTTGTGCACACATCTAACGACAGGGGAGAAAATTCTGTAACAACTCATGCTGTGATTTTTCTTTTTTACTGTTCTCTGATATCCTTGAGCAGTTACCAAGTAAAGGACATAAGTGGAAGAAAATACAGTTTTATAACTGGATGTGATAAGAACACCCCACAGTCTCTTATGTGAGAGTAACAGATGATGTGAGGGTGAAACAGAGGATATTAGCAGATGAAATACATCTGAAAACATACTAATTAAAAAATATACAAAGTAAATTGATTTTCAGTGATAATGTCCATAAATGGAAAAGTAAAGAGAATATTCGGCACAGCCATTAGAAAGCTTCTAGTGCAATGCTTGCTTGTTTTCAGGAAAAAAGAAATCGTAATTAAGCTGTAGTACTGGCTCAGTATGAAAACCAAAGAGGAAATACATGCGATGTGATCATGCAAATTACCAGATGCTAATTTTGTATCTTGGTGCCTAATGAAAATTTAATGAGTTATGACTGTTCAGCTTGTTACCTTTACATACACTTTCATGGAAAGTTATTTTTTTTCTAGAGCATTCTGAATATAGTTTTTGCTATGTAAATATAATGGGAGAAGCAGGTGAGGATTGGGGTAGCTGATAAAGGCAGACAGTTACATTTTCAGAAACACCTCATACAGATTATGCAGGCTGGATATTTCAAAACAACCTATTGCTAAGTACAGAATTAAGAAAAAATTAATATTAGGCATTAGGTTTTATTGTTCCTCTAGTTTATGCCTTACTTGTGGCATTGAGATAGCATGAATAAAATAGTCATTTGGTAAACTGAAGAAAGAAATAATTTCACCTAAATGACAACGTAAGCGGTATTGTCCCATAATAAGAATTGGTAATTAAACTCATAAAAGATACTGTTAGTTCTGGGGAAGGAAGAAGGGCAACAAGATCAAGGATGTGAACGTATGAGGCTTTAACTGCAAATATTACCAGTGTTAAGGTGGTGGGTACAGTGTTTGTTACATTTTCCTATAGGTGTGAAATCTTTTCTAATTAAAATATTAGTAACTGAGAGATATACTTCAGTTTACTACAGTTTGAAAAAAGTATAACAAATCTTTAGATATTAAAAACAGTGACATCAAGGGGCAAATGAACTTATTGAAGCCAGAGGTAGATCATAGGATTGACTAATATACTAACAGACCATTGCATTAAAACTCTATTTCAGTAGTATCATCTCCCAGCATGTACACATCTATGTAAATTATTAAGAAAATAATTTAGAGCACTTTTTGTTTTTTAATATTTCTTATTTAACTCACTATTGCTTTCAAAAATAAATTCGATGTTCCCTTACCAGAATTTTCCACGAAATCAGCTCCACTGGAAGTTATAAGTGGCGCACAAATATTTGTGATTTCCTGCAAACCCTGTTCAAAAATAAATGCATTAAATAAGGAACCAGATTTCATGGAAATATAGGTGAAATGTGCCCTTTGCAAATGGTGACATTACAAGAAATCCAAATTCTTGCAGGAGTAACCATTTTTATTATTTGACATCTGAAGAACTAAGATCTTAAAAGGCCCCATTCATTTCAACACTGGCTCAAAAGGGTCCTTGAGGATCAAGGAGTCTCTCATTTTTATGTCCCATTACCCCTTTTCCTATCTGAATATAAATAGAATCTTGCTCTATCTAATCAAAATAAATGTTTTACAGACTGGATCCTCACCTTGTCTTCAGGTTGGGCTCCTTCAATTCCCCACTGATGCATTGTTCCTTCTGAACCGTCAGAAACTGGGATAAATCCACCTGCCACTCCTCCCGCAGGACCTGTCCCGCAGTCACAAGTTAGCAGCAGAAGGGGGGCCACTAGTATAAAAGAAAACATCAAAACATTTGAATTACTCAAAAATGATTGACATGACAATTGTCAGAAACGTTACAAGAAAACACATTTTTAATACTTATGGAAAACCTAATGGAAAGCAAAATTAGTTTCTACAAAATAAATTTTGGTGGATTAAGCATACTGAAATTTCATATGATTATGAAGCTGAAGGAGACCGATCGGATCATCCTTGTGATGTAAATGGTCTTAAAATAAGCACAGTTTGATGAATGATAAAGGTGGTTGTTTAGTTCCTCGATCCTTTTTTTTATATATATTTTTTATATTCATTGCATTTATTTGTACATGTTGAGGCTATGTCTGTTACGTCAGGTGAAAACACATCTGGATGGTCAAGATTTTAGGTGGGCATGGTAATGTTTTAGTAATCTGGTCTTTAAGACTCTCTTAGTAAACAACAATTAACCAGCAAACTCCCTCAGCAAATAGAGTGATAATCTAATATCGGTGTACTCTTAATTGTAATTTAAGAATCCCTAGCGTAGAGGGGCTTTCCAGACAAGGTAATAATCATTCTTTCAGTGCCTATCAGGCACCTCTTGGCAATAAAGATTAATATCATTCTCATGCAAATGAAAAAAAGTTCTTCCTACGTTAAGTAGTCAGTGACTCCACTCTCCCTCCTCCGACCTGCCAAGGCCACTGAAACTATTTGAACTCTGTTCACTTAGAGACAGCTTAGTGCCTAGTGAGTGATTTAAGATCACAGCCTCTGGAGTCAGATTTCCAGGGTTGGAATTTTGGCTCCACCACTCACCAGTGGGGCGTTATGTCATCTTTTCTTGCCTTCATTAACTCATCCAAAGAATGGGAGAATAAAGAGTATCTACATCATAGATTGTTGTGAGGATTAAATGAATTAGTATAGGTAAAGGACAGTAGTTAGCACTGAAATTTGCTAGTATTGTTTGGATGGGCTACATCAGTTAAGCAAATTAGGTCAATCATATATACATATACATTTCATATACATATGAAAATGAAAAAAATTAGGCCAAGTATATAAATAGGTTGGATGTAATTAATATATTTTCTCAAAATTGAATATAATGTGCATGTAAATGAAACTTCTAAAGGCTTTCTATTTATTGTCATTCTCAACTGTATGACTTTATTACATGTGTAGGAAAGATTGAATACTGTGAATTGACAAAATGGTTTTGAAGGGTGATGAATGTTTACTTGTATGGTTGGTATTTTCAGGTGGGCAGAATAGTCTTTTAGAAATCTTTTTAGCACTATATGTGCTATATGTATTTGGTTTTTACATATGTATCCAGAGAAAGTTTTTCAAAGCATATTTCTACAGACTGAAAAATGTATGTTCTGTACAAAATTCAAAACATGATATTTTGCAAGTGATAGGATCACATGAAGCAAATGTGATTGTGAGAATAATAGTATGTTTTCTCTGACTGCCATCCTGAGCCACAAGCCCTAAGGTACAATGGCCTGCAGGACATAGCCACGCCCCAAAGTTTAGCATTTCAAAATCAAACTCATCATTGCCACCCTGTATATCTGCGCTTCTTCTCATATTTTCAATTTCATTCCGTGGTTTCAGCAACAACTGAATTAAATGGTTCATTTGAACTTCTTATCCACTCCTTCCATCCGTTAGTCTCCAAGTCCTCTCCATGTACCCTTGTAATGCCTCGCACACCTAACCTTTCCTTTCTAGCTTCATGTCCATGACTCTGAATCTGGCCTCCACCATCTCTTCTGAACTAATACAATAACCTCCTAAGTCTTTTTTCCCTCCTAACTTTCAGTTCACTGCTGCCAGTGTTACCTTTCTAAAATACAAATATGATCATGCTAGTCTTTTTTTCAAATACTTTCAGCCACTCTCCTTCCTCAGAGCTTAAAGTATAAGCACCATAGCATGTGTATGTAAGTCCTTTCAAATTTGTCCCAAAGCACTCTCTAGTTTCATCTTCTTTGTCCCAAACAATTAGCCTCCCAAGGCTGTGTGATTCCTAAAACATGCTACGCCTTTTTTGGCTTTGGCTCCTGCTATCCTTCTTTGCAAGCGCTTTTCCTTCTTTTTGTACTTACTGTATCCTACTCATTTCCCAAGACTCCAATTGGTGATTTCCCTAGTCTGCAAAGCTTCCACAATATTTTTTTGTATTCACTTCTATTATAGCTTTATCATGGCATATTTTTTTTCCTCTATAGTTAGACATGCATAAATCTGTGGACTGCACGAAAATCAGAATTAAGTTCCTGTTTCAGCTGGAAAGCTAGCATCAAGACTAATAATATATACTTGAAAAACCTTTTGTCGAAATTGACTAATATGATATTGAAAAACTGAAAACGTGGATGTCAATTTCAGCTGTTAAACAAAATGATGCACCATAACGTCTAATAGTAAACACTTTTTGGGAAAGAGGAAGAATATATGACATGTGTAGGAGGAGGAGGCCACTAGATGTATGTATAGCAATTTACTTCTTTTTAAAAAAAGAGATCTGAGAAAATATGGCAAATATTAATATCTGTTAAGTCTGAGTGATAGTTATATATTATATGGTTATATGTATGCAAATAATAATACCTGTGAATTCTGAATTATGGTTATATTTGTGCCTGTCATGTAATTTTCTGTACTTCTTTGAGGTTTAAAAATATTTCATAAATTAAAATTTAAATGAATGGCTTGAAGTGGATTTGATCACCATGAAAAATCATTTTAATTTTAAAAGTCTATGGTTTTATAATAATTTAAAGAAGTGATTGTGAATTTATCAAGGATTTCTCTTATTTATACAAGAGTTTGCCACCAAGTTCTTTTAAAAAGAGACCTGTTACATTCAAAATACTATTTGATTCACAAGATTTTGATTTAAATGCAACTTTTTAGAAATCTTTTGAATGAAATAAATTTTACTCTTATTGAAAAATAATACATGTGTGTAGTTTCCCTAAATGTGTTCAGTAAGCTTAATCATATTAAGTGTGAAAGCGTTAAACGGTGTGTATATTCAGATGGTTAAGCTATTTTGAGGAAGTTCTGGATTAAGCAATAACATTGCAGAGCCTACGATATATTACTGTGCATTGTAAAGCTCAAAGCCTATGATATCTTATATATTTTCCCTAAACCCATTTGGCCAAGGTTCTCTTTTTATTTCAGAATCTCCTGAGACTTGAATATGGAGAAGACAGTCTAGAAAGTGTCACACTCATGGATAAAGACATTATTTTGACCATGAATATTACTGGCAGTATATAGAGTGTGTTTATGCTTTATTTTTCCCTTTTGATTCTCTTGTGCTGTTTTCTAAATGTCTAATATTTATGACTTGCTATGTGTTATGCTTATGTCTAACATTTATGATTATATGTTATGACTAACATAAATAACCTGTTTTGTTTTATTGCGAATATAGGTGGTCAGCAAGTGACATGTTAACTTTAAACATTTCAGATTCTTCCTGAAAATGCCATTTCTCCCCAGTTTTGCCTATAAAATGTTCAGGGAACGTTTTTTTCTACATTTCAGAAATACACTGCCCGTGCAGAGTAAAGCCCTTTGCAAACGCTGCCATCTGTGAAAAACAGAAAGAAGCTTTGGCATACTCACACAGCAATAGCAAAAGACCAAGGAGTATCAGGCCGATGGCAGCAGGCCCCAGCCTCACAGATGACTGCTCTGTGAAACGGTTGGGGTTTGTGGGGGTACAGGTGTCCCTGTAGTCGCACTGACAGACCGTGAGAGTCAAACTCTCCGGTGTCTCGCACAGCCGCTCTTCGCTGTCTTTAAGTATGAGGGAGACTTTGTACTCTCCAGGAGATACCTGCTGCTGGGCTGTTAGGAGTGCAGAGGTGGCTGTAGAGAAACAATCATGCAAATCAACAGTAGGATAGGCGTCTTGTGCTCTTAAAACTACTTATTTTTATTAACAGAACCAGAGTGACCATAGACATCACTGTTACAAATAGCGATGCAAGTATTAGGGTGAGATTTGAGCAGTTATGAGGGCTATAAGGGATTCATTTGGGTAAATTGGACTGTATTTCCTTCTTGCCCTTTTATCCGCCCCAAATGGGCCCAATATTCTCCCCTGTGAAAACTCAGTCCTATCCTAAATTTCCTCGCAAAGAGGAGGGGAGGAAAGCATCATTTAAATCCCAGGCATTCCTCTTCTGGGACTTAACCACTCTCCTGTATGTCTGCACCAACCCCTGGACTCTTGTGTGGCCCTCTGAATGTATCCCTTTTGCCTAACTCCATGTTTTTGTCCCTGGCTTACCAAGACTGAGTTTCTGCTTTGGTTGCTGCTACCTCAACTACTCCTGTCAGTCTTGATCTCATGAGCTTAATGCTGGTTATAGGATTCCCTATGGTAAAGGCCTTGTTGTCTGTCTGACTCATGAGCATTAATCATTCTCCATTCTTCATTGTTATGTTCCTTTGTAAGTGGGCTCCAGCAGCAGCTCTCGGTTGCTGCAGGGAGGTGCTACTTGAATCATTCCTACTCTGCCATGCCCTTGACATTATGTCTGGTCCACCCAGTCCAATCACGATTGTCTTGCCCAGCCTCGCCCGAGCAGGTGTGTCTAATGCCAGGTCCTGCCTCTCTCTGATGTTTCTTTTGCAGCCTTTTCATTGATCTTGTGTCTGGTAAGCGCATTTGGAGCCAAATGAATAATTTGGAGCTAGATGCTTTCACCATGCTCAGTATGGCCCCAGGAAAAAGGCCACAGAGAACAAGATCCTTTTGGTGACTTTAGCAATGTTGGAAACCCATGACTGAGGCATCACAGAGCACATTTATAAAAAAAGCAAGACTGGTTCAGACAAAAGAGAAAACAAAATAATTAGAGAAAAGTGAGTTTATTTACAAAGCTTAACGACCACTATAAAATTTAGAATGGGAGAAGATACTTAATAAATCTAATGGCTGTTTCTATAAGGCTCCTGAAAAACATGAGATATGTAAAATTAGCATGATAAAGGGTCAGATAAATGAAAGGATGAACTAGCTCTTTCCCACTGACTAATGGCTTTACAAATTTCAATATCCCATGCCCTCAAGATTCCTGACTAGTGACAGACTAAGTGGTACTTCCAATGAGCAGGCTAAGCCTTCCAGTAGTCCTTTATTTCTGTTAAGAAGAGTTTATGTATTTAGAAATCTAAACAGCTTTGCCATAAAATAGATGCCTGACTTTAATCTTTTGTTGATGTCCTCTGGAGGTAGAAATAATATATTAAAAACATAAAAATATAAAAATTGGAGTCCACAGGAAAAACATAAATTATTGAATAGTGCTAACATTATATCATATCATTTCTTTCCTCTTCTGAAGAGAGAAGACATTCATGAGGTTAAGACTGCATCTTCATTGCAAAGAATTTTTTCAATTGCCCTTGGAAAGGATTTGCTCTCAGATGAGCTCTCTTAGCTTTCTGGAAATACAAAGAAGCAGCAACTTTCATTTATGGTTGCAACTTTACTATTACTCACCATTGAGTGTTGTGATACTCCACACAGCTGGCAATTTTTGAGGTTGCTCCTCCAGTGAAAATGTGTAGGGGCCAGTGTATTTATCATTGTCCTGTACTCTAGCTGAGACGACCACAGAAGGCAATGAGCTGCAAATTACTTCCTTTTCGAGGACAGTCGTTGGACAATTTTCATTAAAACCAGGAACTTTAACATATACGGTGCCTGTAGATGTTTTACCTGTGTTTTCTGTAAGAATAACATTTAGCGTTAAAGAAATATACAGAACAAGTTGTCCAAAAAATTAACTTTTTAAATGTCTCTCAGCCATGTTAGTATATCTTCTCATGAGAGAGTATGTTTGTTATTCTTACAAGAAAAATATCCTCTGATTTCCACATCTTGTAAAAAGCAAATTTAACTTTATTAACTTGGCCGATGTCTCTAATTCATAGCACTGGCTATTAATTTAATATGCTTAGAATTGAGATCTATCAGGTGTTGAATTTGCTGACTATAAATAAAATCAACATAAAAATCATGTTTTCTTAAATGCCCAGCACTGTGTGAAAGATTTTTGCTTCTATAGCTAGAGCCAAAGTATATGGAATAAGCAATGATTTATTTTTGTTACCCAAGATATAAAAGTTTATTTAAGAACAATTTAAATATGTTAACAAGCAAAAACAATAAAATCAATTTTTTCAATGGTAGGATTGAGTCATTTCTCTTTTTTTCCTTTCATGCTTTTTTGCTGTTTTCTCTAGATAATATGATTTTTGGTGTTTATTCTTTTGTTTTATTTTTATGTTTGTTTATTGCCTTGAACATAAATTAATTTTATACTTGGAGAAACATACACACTCAATTAGTATTTTTAAAACATCCCAGAATATTTTCTTGTTCAATAATGTATGCACACGAGGTCTCTATAGATAACTCATTTTTTAAGTAACTCACAAAGGCACCTCACATTTGAGATAAGCTTACTTGATAGGCTTTTGGTGTCAATCTTTATTCATCCTTCTCAAACCCAGAAATTCCAATGAGTCTAAAAATTTCTGTCCCAACCACAGCAAACCACGGGGACAGAACACAGAATTCACTGGTGCTACAAACGCCACTGAGATGGAGTAATCAGTCTTCTCCTAGATTTAGCTGCCTCAGACTTGAGACCCAAGGCCCCTGAGATAATTAACTTTATCTAGTGACAAAAGTAATTTGTTAAGTAATGGTAATCATCTATTCATAAGGAAATGCCATTTGGAGTAAAATTTCTCTATAAATGATTGAAATATTTTTCTTACCATCTATGGCCAGGACCTCAGCTGTGATTGTCTTGTTAACTATAATAGTAGAATCCCGATCCATGTTTTTGACAAATCTGATTTGAGCAGTTTTGGAATCAATAATTAGCAAACCACCATCATTACGTCCCATGACATATCTGTTGTATAATAGAAAAAAATAATAGATTTTTTTTTCAAATATGGAATGATTATCTATTTAATGAAAATGACTCATTTTAAATTTAATATAAGACATTGAAATATGCTTTTTTAAAAATGCAGCATAAAATTAACATGTTAGCATGGACAAGCAGTATTTTATCATTCTTAAGTATGTATTAGCGCGGTTTTTCAATTTTGTGCTCTGTGTAATAAAATAACTGTGTCCTTGCTCTTAATACTACAGCAACCACTTTGCATGGTGCTTTTAGGGTTTAGGTATGTATGTCTCTGTATGTACTGTTCTATCTTACTGCACCATGGTTTTCTGATGAACTTCTAACTCTTTAAGACTCAAGTTGAAAGTTTCCAGGAACTTTTTCCTGATCTCTTTGGACAGGCTAAAGCATTTTTCTTTTAGTTTCCACTTTAAGTTTATGTTATCTTCGCTCATAGTACAGTATCTTCTAATGATTTAGCTACGTATCTCTTTTTGAGTTATCCAGTTCCTTGAGTTGGCTACTGTTGTATCTCTTTGTGTTATTGGCATATAGTAGTTTAGATTTTAGATATTATTTTGTAATAATTCATAGCTTAAAATAACATCAAGGAATAATAAGATGTTATTAAAATAGTCTTACCTGACATTTGAGGCAGCTTTGCCAGTGTCTTCATCAATAGCTTGATATGTTCCCAGGATGTAATTGACTAATTTTTTACTACTTATGCCTTTCTCGACAGTAAATGTCTTGGAAGCAGGACGGAATGCAATTCCTTCTTGCACATTTATAACTTGAATAGTGACAGGGGTCGAATGGACTCGATATTGAGAGATAACTGACTGGTGAAATTCAGCTTTGTTTTTGACAGCAATACTAAATTGCACACTTTGTAGTTGTTCATAATCTAGAGCCTAGAGTAAAAATAAAATTAGAAGAAAAGAAGTGTTACAATAATATGATCTGGTAAATCCAGAAGAGGAAAAGAGAACTCTATGTTACAGGCTATAAATGAATCCTTTTATTTCTATAAATAGAAACAGAAATAGCATAATAGTTTCAGAAATCATTGTAATGTTGAGATAGAGAAACCTTTAGAATTCTTAACTCATAAGACCTCAGTTTGGTAACTGATAGCTTACAAAGCAGGGTACTTCTTTGTAGACTAGCAAAATACTATTATAGTTTCTGTAGGCTGTGTGGTGGCAGTGGTAAGAATTCCAAATTTGCTATGGTAGCATGTGTTTGAATCCTGGTCCTGCTACTCAATATCTGTATGACTCAGGGCACAATATTTAATATCTCTGATCCTCAACTTTCCAATTTTGGAAAAAAAAAAACAAAAACCCTTACCTCATCAGATTGTTGTGAGGACTGAACAAATTAAGACCCATAATACATTCTTATAAATGGCAGCTCTGGCCATTCATGGAATAGTCATTGAACTCATGTGCATTGTCTTTTCTGACTTTAAAAATTCCTAGGTGGCAAACAAAGGCAAACTATCTTGCCTCGGTTGGCAAAGATGCCTTTGAAAAACAGTGAGTGGATGGCCCATCAATTTTTTGTAGAACTATTTTCAGATGGTCTTACAGGGGAACTATTTGTTCGTCCTCTGAGGTGGCCCAAACCAAGGCCTGAGGAATCCCAGGATAGCCTTTTCTATTCACTGTTAAATTTTTGGAGGGTGATGAGATAAGAAAATGCTCCTTTTGGTTACACTTGTATATCACTGAAAATACTTAAAGTGGGAGATCTAGATTTGAGTTTTAGCTTTGCAGTGACTGGTTCTGTGGGCTCAAGCATTTCCTAGTGTAGAGAAAGAGGAAGATATGTAAACAGGTAATTATAATACAAGGGGCAAGTGACAACAGAGATTACAGAGTCTATGCGTGAAAGCAAGTGAATACTTTTTGAAAGTGTTAGGAAAGGTTGCTGAGAGGTTTTCATGTGAGCTGAGCGTTTAAGGATGAGAAGGAGTTACGCAGGCAGAGGTGAAAACAGGTGCCAGTGCCCAGAGTTACCGAAGGTGGTAGGGAACGGGCTGGCTGCAGGTGATGAGAGACCTTGTATACAGTTCTGGGAGGGCGAACCTCGTCTTAAGGTCCAGCAGGCGGTCAACAACCCTGGCTGCCTAGTAGAGTCTCCTGAGGAGCCTTTAAGAACCTCTGCTGGAGCTTCTCACAGACCAACTGAACCAATAGTTCTCATACTCCCACTAGCTAGGAAAAGTCATAAGTGATTCAGATAGGCAGTCATGGTTGAGGGCTACTTTTATAGCCAGTGGAGAACAAGGGAAGGTTTTAAAGGAGAGAGTAACTGGTCCAAATTGGTTTTAAGAAAAACATGCTAGTGGACTGATGACAGTAGGAAAACAAAGGGACATAAAAACAAGGTAGGGACACCTACCAGGGGGGTCACAGTCATGCAGTGGGAAGGAGGCAAGACCAGGCTAGAAGACAGGCCATAAGAAGGAAGAGCAGGGACAGATTTTAAGGGCAATTTCTAGGGCAGAATTTGATGACTGACTGTATGTCGTGAGGAAATGCCATGATTAAAGGATAAGGCCCAGGTTTCTAATTTGGGAGACTGGATGACGCTAATACAGGAGATAGACTATCTCTCATTCTCAGTTACTACTGAAAGTTTATGACGAAACCCCTGTAACTTAGCATAGCTGTAGCCTACTTCCTGAAAAGCAGAGTAATAAGAACTGCTTTCACGACTTGCAGCGATCCAGGATTCCAGCAATCTCCTTGTTAAGGGAACATTACAGGTCTGTTACTCTACTAGACTCAAGGAATTAAAAAAACAAGTTCCCATGTAGTCTAATGTCCTGTGTCAAGGTATGTACCAAAATAGTGGTTATTTTTTCTAGTGTATACAATATCCAGGAAGAAATATCCTTACATTATTCCTGTTGTTCTTGTTGTTGGTTGTGGTGGTCACACGTGCATACGTGCGTGCTTGCGTGTGTGTGTGTATGTGTGTATGTGTGTGAGTGTTGTCTCCTGAGCCAAACATGTTTAGTGGAAGTTTTACTTAATTATTTATTCTTCGTCTTGCAGATTTATTTATACTTTCTCATTTTCTAGAAAAAGTTACCTTTTTCCTCCCTTGATAACTGTTACTAATCCATTTAAAACAAGTTGACAAATTCATAAGCCACAGTTCCATGTATTTGTATCTCTTCCTAACTTCAGTTGTAGATAGTGAATGAGTAAGTCAAGAAATGTGTTTTACTTTCTTGTGCTTAAAGCAGGCACATCTATAAATATATGTTTATTGGTATTTTTGTGTTTAATACAGAATATATTTCCTTGAAAGGAAATAAATCACCATGTTAAAAAAAAGACTGTCCTTAGGTCACGGGGCTATGTGTGTGTGTGTGTTTACAAATTCTGTTTACTTTTATGCACTTTCTAAGTTTTTTTTTTTCTTTAAAGACGTGATATTATTATTAAATGCATAAAGTTTATTTGTAGAAATGATAGTTTTGGCCAATATAGAATATTTTTGCCAATGAAGGAAAATTAGACCTTACCTTAACTACCTTCAGGATGCCTTCATTAGTTCTGGAATCAGTTTGGATTTCAAACCAATTTCCTTCATTTCCAGAGGTAAAAAAATATACTGCAAGCCAATTATCTGTGAACTCTTCATCCAAATCTATTACTTGAAATCGAAGCAACTCAGAACTTAAAGTATTTTCCTCAATACGTGTTGAATACTAAAAGGGAGAGAAGCAGAATTTCAGACTCAATGTTAGGTTTTATCTAAAGGGATTACATTTCTTCTGAATAGTATTAATCATTAATTCTCAAATTATGTATTGCCTCTTTGCCAGTTACCTTGTTGCAAGCAGGCAGATACTGAATTAAGATGGCAAAGTATATCATAGAACATATGTAAAAACTATTCTTCAAGGAGCGAAAGTCGTACCTGGGACTCTTTGAACATTGGGAAGTTATCATTGACATCTTTCACTTTAATACTGCTCTCACATTGAGCTGATAGTCCTTCTCCATCTCTGTCTGCACCACTCACAATCAGACGGTAGTTGCTAACTTGCTAAATTTGGAGTAAAGAAAGAAAAACATTTAATCTCTAGTGCAAAGAATATGAATGCCAACTACTTGCTGTGGGTCAGGAGATAAAAACATTCAAGTTCATGGTTTATTGGATCATGTGCACTGTTCTCTGTTCATCATAGAGAAGGTATGTGGGGCTCTGGATGTTTGGGTAGAAGTCTTTAAGGGGCTAGAACAGATTTTCTCTTTTGTGAGCTTCTTAGGGCAAGAAAGTAGTACACTTAGAGCAAGAATGGGTAATGATGATAATGGGATGCTTATCTCAGGGAAGCTCACTTAGAGAGTTTTCCTGTCAGTCTATTCAGAAAATCATTTGTATAAAAGTAATACAAAGTATGATGGGTTGGGGTATGGTGATGTAGTGGCAGGATAATGAGAAAGAGAGAAGGAGATTCTTTAGTGTTCTAGAAGCAGGGGCAAAATTAAAAGAAGTCAGGAGAAAAAGTGATATCAGAGAAGGCTTAATTCCAGGTAGAAATGTCTCTCTTCATTTAAGAAATTTCATTTTCCTCCATTTGAGGAATTAGTCACAGTTAGGTCTTTGACAGTGTGTGCCAATGACTCCTTTCACTCTCTTACTTTAACTCTCACTGGTATACTGATGGTTGTTTGTTTAGGGTGCAACTGATTGCGTGGGTCTCAGGTACAAATCCCACCCCGCTGGAATCACACTGAAATGCAAACAATTTCCCTAGGTTGCCCAGCTGAGTACTGAGAACCTCTTTTTCTTTCTCCTTTCATTCTCGGGTAAAATGGAGACCCCTCTCTTGGCTTTCTTAAGTCAAATCCTTTACTATTAAATGCTCCGAAGGGCCTTGCTTTACCTCTCGATCAAGAGAACTGGTTAAAGTACGGACTTCCCCAGTGTGTCGGCTTAGGAGGAACATGGGCATGCCTGCAGGTTCCTGAGAGACGATTTTGAATGCAATTTTAGAGTTCATATGGTTTGGTTCATCTGCATCCGTAGCATTTAGTATCATCACCAGCGAGTCTAGGAATACAGAAGTTCATTAAAGAATATGTAAGAATTGATATTATGTCCACATTAAATATTCAACACAATGTCAAATGGATCTTTGTTCTTTAAGACCTTAAAACTATCTGTATGTTTAAAAAATATTTCATGTCACTTGCAATATCTCTTAGTGTCTCTCCTAAAATCCTTCAGTTTTCTTTAAGCCTTGGCTGTGTTTGGGTTAAGAGTATTTTCTGTCTTTATTTCTTCCCTTGAATAATGGCTTTATGATTCTCCTTTTTCCTCGAATTATCCAAGTAACATGAGTGTGCATCTGTCCCTTATAATCTAGAAGAGGCCTGCTCATGCATCCAGGCTACCTGAGGCCTTTAGCTTTGTGACTGCTGGGTACTCATGTAACGTGTATGTATAGAACAAGAAACTATCGACCTGATGACAGGGCCACAACCTAGAAATACAATGGCAGTGAATAATTAGCTCAATTACAAATATTAGAAAGTAGATTCAGGTTATTTTAATGAGTTTTTTCTGGAAAACTGATGAAACTAAGAGAGTAAATTAGCTTTTAAAAATGATGTACTATAATGATACTTGTATTTGAAAATTTTAAAAATTAGAAGTGATAGCTACTGTAAAAAAACTTACTTGAAGGACTATTTTCTTCAATTTCACCCATAAATATACTTTGTGAAAATACTGGAGGGTTGTCATTGATATCTAAAATTTTGACCGTTAGTATAAGTGGTTTCTCTACATCTCGTCCTTGGGCATTTAAAGCTCGACATGTAATCTAGAAAAAAAGGGAAAATGTTAATCATCACTCTACAAACTTAATTTGCATACTATTAAAACTTGTAGAAATAAGTCCTGTACTGGTCTGCATAGAACTTTAGTGCAAAGAAGAAAAATATTTCCCCAAAGAAGAGACAAAGTGGGAAACAATGCCCACTCTGGGCAAACCCATTGGGCAAGTTGCCCCTTTCTCCAGGCTGATACTGTCACATGGCAGGGTGAAGCTCTTGGCAAGCTGAATGCTGGAGTTTAGTGCTCACACATGCACCTCCTGGTGTATGCCTTCAGGGACACAACCATAAATGGAGGCTCTTTGTAGAGGGACTAATATTGTTATCTGTTGGCAGATTGATTTATGCACTGATCTCTCCTCTAAATTAATCAGTACATAAATATCACCTTCTAAAGCCACGGTGCATGAGGGGAAGAAGGGTACCCAACGTTGAAGACACAAACTTACCTGGAAGCTTGGGGTTTCCTCACGATCCACTATGGCTGTTATGTTAATTTCTCCAGTATTTCTGTCAACAGCAAAGATTCCAAAAGGGGGCTGATCAATTCCTATTCCAGAAATATGGTAGGTAATTTTCTGAGTTGCTTGGAAATCTGAAGTAATCTGCAGCCAAAAATACCCCAAATGTTTAAATGATCATTACTTAGGCCTTTGTCTTCCCCTCCTCTCCTCCACCTCTATAGTTTTAAGTCATCTGTTCACTTTTTTCACTCTGACACTGTGCTGTTTACTTTTTACCTTGATAGATACTAGAAATATGAAATAAATTCCAGTTATTGCTTCTGTTGACCAGCATGGACCAATATACATTAATCATTTTGGCTTTAGAATATTTGCTCAGACTGTGGCCACCATGGTGATATTAACAAAGTTGAGAAAAAGTCAAAGACACATAATATTGGCAAGGGTACTTCTGAATGCTTCCTTTCTTAACAGATAACATTAAAAAGAATGACATTTATTTTAGTTTAAATAAGGAGAGCTAGAGAGAAAAATAGGAGAGGGATTATATAGTAAGTGTTAAAAATATGTATTAAAATGAATTATTTTTATAATTTTTAAGCTTTTTGATGTGGAAAATTTCAAATTATACATAAAGTTAGAATAGTATAATGAACCTGGTATATTTCATCACTTAGCTTTAATAATTGTGCATATATAGTTAATCTAATATTGACTCCCAATCATTTTCCTAATTGTCTTATCCATATATATATTTTTCTATTTGTTACATTCTGGATCTGAAAAGGCTTATCGATTGAAAATGGTCCATATGTCTCTTTATTTTTTATTACTCCAGGGCCATAGTTCTGTCATCTTTCTTTATCTTTCTGTTATCATTGTTGTCATTGTTACTATTATTATTGTTTTTATGTTGCTGAAGATATCAGGTTATTTGTTCTGTGGACTCCCCAGCCTGCATTTTGCTAATTAGAATTGCTCAATTATTTTAATTTACATTTAATACCTTTATTCTAAAAACTTACATTACCTCTGCTCATATGACTTACTGTGGCAATTGGATTTCTCTTTGAGTTGTCTTCTCCTTCTCTGCAGGGTTTTGCAAATTTCACCCATTCACGTTTATATCTCCTTTTGGCTTGTTGTACTGCTGTCCCATTTTCTCCATTTGTCTTATGTAAAAAGGAATTCCATTTTAATAAGCACATTGTTGGACATTTTTGCTTTGAATATCGGCGATATACATCTACATCGAGAAACCCCTATGTTTTATAATCTCTGAGACTGTTAGATGTCTAATTTGTTCTACCTCACATTTTGTTAAACAAAGAAGAAACATTAAATAAATAAAATAGTTATAAGCTGTATGATTTTTAATATAGCATTTCATCATATTTTAAATTTTTTTTATGTTTTCTAAAATATCTAACTATTCTGGGCACATAGGACCTATTTAATTAAAATCTGTTGATTTGTTTTAGATAAGAAGAAACAATGTCTGAAATAAAATATATTAATAACATTTATATATTACCGGTATTTAAATATTATTGGGTTGCTAAAATTTTAATTTATTTTCACAATGAAATTATTAAATAATTTAAAACATTAAATCTTTATTTTTCCTGAACACAATTTTAATTTTTTAATGAAACTGTTATTTTAATTGCAAAAAACTTTTTCATACTTTACCTCTATTCTCAATTCTCCATGAACCAGTAGGACCACCTGTAGACATTTAAATAAAGTCAAATTAAATGTAAATTCTTCAAATAGGTATGTAATAACATAAGATAATAATCCTGATTTTTACATTCTGCTGTTCATGCTATAATTCATTTCTATTTCAAAAAAGTAGATTTGGAAAAGCAGTATTCAAAAGTAAAATCTTCCTAGGCAAAAGAAAATGCTCTCAATATAAAACACTTCTTTCAGTTCTTTAATCTGACTGCAGAACTTTAAAGATATACAGAAGAATCTATTGGATTTTGAAAAACTCTTCCTAACAGATGGTTGCAGCAACCAGACGTTTCTTACCGTGGCTTTTCTATAAACAATTCCCAGGAGCTATGGAAGCTCTTGCTTTGGGAAACAATGTCAGGCATCATTGTGATAAGCTTCAGAACGTTCTATAGGAGATTATTAAAAACCATAGCCTACCTACCTGACTTGTACAAAGACAATCTTGTATTAGTTAGCTGCAGGGTAAGACATTTTCTTAGTTGTTCAAGAATGAAGATAATGAAATGGAACTAGTCTGGTTTATAGAATGGAACATAAAAGATGGGGATATGCTATTCCAGTCACAAGTGGTGTTTGCTGTGGGACTCAGATCTCTTCACTTCTGTCTTATTCAATTTAAATATTGAGCTTAATTTTCTTACTCATCTGAAAAAGTTAAATGAGGATAAAATGAAGTCAGGCAGGCTAGGGTCTTTACTTTTTCAAGAGCATATAGGTCCTTCATCTGTGTCATTTTCCATCTTGTTTTCTACCTGGAATGCATTCTTCTTTCCCCTTTACCCACTTCAATATTACTTGTCCCTAAGATCAATTCCAGTTCCAACAATGTCAATGAAACCGTCTTTACTGATGTTTCCTTTTCTGAGCACGTACAATACATATTTTGAACCATGCAATTTAGCCCATAATGGTTTACCATGATTTATTATTTCTTATTGTTTTATGTGCTTTATGGTGTCAAGCTAAGAGAATTATACACTTTCCAAATCAATGCTTCTGTATTATTATTATTATTATTTTATTATTATTATTTTGCCACCCTTACAGTATCTGTTCCTCAGCAGGTGTTTCCCAACTATTTGCTCATCCACTGATTACCTGATCTGAAGAAAATCTGGATTGTGGAAAATAAAGCAGAAGAAAAAGATTAGAGTAATAATAGTAGTTAGCGTTTATTGTGATTTTTGTGCCTGTTGCTGTTCATAGAGCTTTATATTTATTATCTCATTTAATACTTACAGCAGCCATCTGAAGGAGCTTCTATTTTTATGGATAAAGAAAGGGAGACATGAGAGAGTACTATGTCCTAGGTAACAGCCCTAGTAGGGCCAGAATTTGAATCTCGACAGCCTGACTCTAAAGTGTGTACATCTCCACTACATTAGATTCTAACCAAAGTTGGCATGAATAAATAGAAAAAAAAAACAAAAAACAAAAAACAAAAAAACTAGTGGTAGAGAGAAAGTTTTACAATAGTCAATCTAAATTTTTTTCCTGGCAAAGCCTGAGGTTACTCTTGAAACAATGAAGATTTATTACATTGTTTATTTTGGAAGATTATAATAAAGAAGCAAGTCCAAGTCTGAACCAAAGGAGTAACTATATCAGACATAGGATGCCAGGAGCTTTTCATTCTAAAAATTTCATTGAAATCTTTACTTCAAAGGGCATGTGTTCAAATTGTCATGAAAAAGAACCAGTACATATGGTTATAACAGGTCTCAAAATGATTTCATAGCTTTCCTGTTCTTTATTAAACACTGTCATGAGTTACATGGAGAGAGACCAGAGCAATGCAGTAACTGCACTACTCCTTTCTCAAGGGAGGGATGGGCCAGGCGGGCTCCCTTTTACAGGAAAAGCAAAAAGAGTCATCCAGAAAATATGAGTCGTGTTTGTACTAGCCCCACAGAGAATGATTCTTCTAATGGACATTAAAGCACAATTTCTGTTTTCCTGGGAAGCAAAGGAAGGACAAACCCTAAACTAGGGAGAATGAATATTGTAGACAGCTGTTTCTTGTTTGTTCAATCTTTTCTTAGAGTGAGAGTCCTCAGAGAAGCTATTCAGTCTAA